GAAACTTCCCAGTCTTGAGCTTTGTCTTCAGTAATGTCTTGGTTTTAAAGAACAACCCCCTATCTCGCAAGATTAGGTGGCCAACTGACTACATTGACACAAGCACCCTCTGTGGGGTCACCCAGGAAATCCCAGCCCTATATGGCCCCAGCAGCACTCACAGCTGTAATGACATTCCCATCGTGCCCTGCCACAGCTTCATCCAAGAGCACCAGCTTGTCCTGCAGGGAGCGAAATCTCTCTAGAGAGCACACCTGGAGATAGAAGAGGTATAAGAGTCATACGAGACATCAGACAATTCTCAGGCTGAACCAACCCCCAAGGTACTACTTATTCTTCTCCCATCAGCCCTTTAGCAACAAGAATAACTGCCCTCCCAGCCAGTAGTAAATTTCTCATTTAGCTGAAACCACATGCTGCATAATTCCTGGGAATGTGTCCACAGGGGTTGCAGAGTTACCCTCATTACTGCCCAGGCTGGGACAGCAAACGTTGTACATTCAGCACAAACATTCTAGTCACAAGGCAAAATTTCTCTGCATACCACAAACCACCAGCCCTGACAGGAGAAGGGAACTCTCCAGGGCCCTTTCCACAGAGGAGACCAGAAAAGTACAGTTGTAAGACACTTCCTCTCTTCTTCTTACCCCATAATTGTGGCCTCCCTCAGCCTTTAGTTCACCTCAGCCTTTGAGGAACCACATGCAGAGTAAAACCACAAGCTCCCTCTGTACTCACTACAAACTGAGGCAGCTGAGAGTAAGATACCAGCTCCAGTGTAACCAAGATTGTTTCTGTCTTCCTCCCTCCACTTGCCACCAACCAAGAAGGGAAATAAAGCTCCATACCCTTGGATTTTTTCCATAAACCCAGCCCCAGGGAGCAGAAAGGGTAGAGAGGGACACAGCAGTACAGATACCTCCTGTCAGAGCCTATCTGAGGGGACAACTCAAGTAAACAACACAAAACCCTGAAGGTCTCGCGCTGCTCCTGAGCCAGTGTGATTGCAGGACTGCCACCTGGCAAAGCAGCAGACAGGCAGTGCACCACCCCTGCTAGATGCTGCAAGCAACACGAATCCTCTCCCTGCTCTTGGGACAGCCAAGAGCATAAGAAAGTGTAAAGCAGTTTAGGACCACCCACCCTCCATCTCTTGCAAGCAGGTGGGAGTGGAAAGTCCTTACCTTCCCCCTCTGCATTCGCCTGACTGTATCTCTGGGGCTCCAATCATTGCTGTAATCCTGCCACAAGAAAAATAAAGAGCTTTTGAGCCTCAAGAGGCCAGATCATGCCAGTAGTCTCCAAGCTGCTTTCCACTTGTTCTAGATCAGAGTGATGGCCCATGTGTAGCTTCTCAGACTTATAATTCAGCTGCTCCACGGCAGTTGTTAGTAGGATGTGTCCCTGCAGTGTTCAGGTGCAGATGCTGGGCCCTCAGACTCTGCATGCTGGTGAGGAGGGAAGCTAGAGGCTCAAATGTTAACACTGAGTCTTTCTATTGCCTCAGCAAGGTCTGTCATCATATCCT